TCAATTTCTTCTTTTACAATAGGGAAAATAGTGCCTATGGTTTACAGAGATAAATCACCTTACAGAGATATATACAGATAAATGTAGAAATTACATAGAACTAGACATATGCAAAGTAATTGAGTGATCAATAAGAATGAGAATACAAGAGTAGAGGAAATTATAGAAAATTATAGGAAATGGCAAAAGGTTTTCTATACCATAAGCCTTGTTCTTTGGTAAGCGTCGGTTATATAATTCAAGTTCTGCATATTTTTTCAGAGATATCCTATTGAGATATCAAACTCAACATATACAACATGCATCTTCTTATCTTCTTCCTCTGCCTATCATACCTTTTGTTTCCCCATTATTTCCTTGGCAGCTCCAATTCACCCAAGGTTGAAATCCTAGGAGATCTTGAAAGCTTCCATCCTTTCTTCCTAAATATAACCTCTGATTGCAATTTCCCCCATTATTTCTTCCTAATTTTCTCACCTATTCCCCTTCTACTCATCCCCACTTCAGATCCCATAGTTAGATGTATTACCTATATTAAGGAAATTATTGTTTCTGCTTTTTAATACAATTAACAGACCAGGTAAATTCTCTTAAGGCATGGTTGTGGCCTGCATGTTACTATTGAAATATATTTAATTTCTATATTATGTTGCTTAGTTGTTTTGCTTTTTAAGTGGCTAGTGCCTTTCTATATCCTATGTTTAAACTAAATTATTCTAGCTGTCATTCTGTGAATTAACACCATGTGTTACTTCTTTTAAATTTATTCACACAATTTTCTCTGAAACAATTTCCCTCTTATTACAGTTACTCAGCAGAATTTCTGTGAACAAATAGTCATTTCTACAACTGGATAACACTGAGCTATCATAGTGTCATTTGACCAAAGTCAACAACTTATGTCCATGTGACCCTGTAATAGACTGCAATCATGCTTTATCTGTCTAGAAGCAAAGCACTTGCCTATTTAAGAGCAATCGCATTGTGGATCCTGGTAAGAATCAAATAATTACTTTCTGCTTTGGTAGCTCAGGAAGCTAAACATACAACAAGCTTGGTGGTGTTTACCCCCCATGAAGCTTATTTAGGTTCCTGTGTTTCTATAGGTTCCTATTAGAACTTATTGGAGCTAGCTCTCCTCTGAATTCTATAGTTTTGTGTCCTTCCAACACAATCCTTTTTCTTACTTGTCAGATTAGTTTGTGTTTCGTCAACTATAACCTATCAAGTGGTATCAAAAAAAAGTCTGAATAGCAGAATCAGAGAATGTTAGTAGGTGTTAGTAGATGTGGTATTTGATCTGGGCCATGAATGATTGAAGTGTGCTTGGAGGAATATATATATAGTGTAATTAATATAACATTAGTAGTTACACATTAATATAATCCTTTTGGTAGTGACAATTATAGAATGGTTACTATGTGCTACGACTTTTATTTTGCTTTTAAATTTCAAAATAACTCTTTAGTATATAGCAGGCACTGTTAGTTGTTACCAAATTCTCACTTTGACATCATTTTTTGTTCTTATTGTTGTGGTTTGTTTGGTTATGGATTTTTTGAGACAGTCTCACTCTGTCACCTAGACTGGAATGCAGTAGCATGATCCCAGCTCACTACAACCTCTGATTACCGAGTTCAAGAGATTCCCTTGCCTTAGCTTCCCCAGTAGCTACGATTATAGTCACATGCCACCATACCTGGCTAGACATCATTTTTACTAAAAGAATTCTAATTTTCTTTAGGGTAGCAATGCACTATGCACTCAGCAATTTTTTTTTTTTAATTGGTTTTTCAGGTTCCTATGCCACAATGTATAACCAGTGGGACTTAAGTAAGTCTCTTGAGTGGGGTAAACTTTTCAATAAAAATACAAAGTCTTATAAAGGGAAGGATTTTGGTTCATTCTCCCTTGTTTCTTTTTCAAACTCAGAAGCGATGCTTAGTGATAAAGGAGCTATCCTGAAACCGAGGGTGAAAGCTACATATCAAGAATGGTGGAGCAGAAAGCTGGAAGGAGCATGGGTCATTAGCAATATGCCATAGAGCCAGGCTTTAGCTGCCCGCCTCTGACTTCCTATGAGATAAGAAAAACAAGACTTACACAGGTGGAAGAAATTGACTTAGGTATTTTGTTACTTGTAGCCAAATGCAATCCTAATAGTAACAAAGTGATCTTAAATAACTTGCTTAAATAAAAATCTCTCTTTACAATAGGAAAGTCTAGATTTGAACCCAGGTATTTGTCTATGAGGTCCATGTTTATAACCAATGATAAATCATTTTATTCAAAATGAGATACATTAATGATTTTTTCAAAATTCCCAGCCTTTCTAGCATAGCCAGTTGAAACCTCTTAGAAGGCATTTTTTCCTCCCAGTAATTAAAAAAAAATGTCTGTACTTTTGAAATTTTGTGTAGGAATACTAAAATTTCATCAGGTTCTAAGAATTTTCAATACCGAGTATAACTATAAAATAATGAATCTTTTAAACCACCTGATAAAATTCAAAAATCCAGAGGAGCATGTCTGTTCAAAGCTTGCACCCAAGGAGACTCCATTCTTTTCTCTGCAATGCTTCTCTCCATTTCTCAAGCCCCCTGAGCAGTCCTGCTTGAGAAGTGACTACAGAATCAGCCTGTTGGCCTCGGAAGAAATTGGTTTCATGGCATCATTTTAAAGTGAAAATAAAATGACTATCTGCCTTCTTTGCAAATTTGATTCCACATTGCTTTGAAGGGTTTTAAAAATCAAATTATCAATAATATACTGAAGATTTATTACAGTTTGACATAATAAAAATCACAAAATACCTGGCCTCATCGTCTCTGCTTCCCAGCATGTACCTAAACAACTTTTGCTCCAGACACACCCTTCTTCCTATCCTTGCCCCTCTCCCTCATTGCCTTCTTTCACAACCCACCCACCATGCTCTTTCCTCTCCTTAAATGTTTTTCCTCCATTCCATCCATGCCATCTTGGTGAATCTCATTCAATCTACTTGGATGAAAGCTTTCTAGTTTCTCCCTCACCCTATTTAGATCCTGTGTCCTGTGCTCTCCTAATGCCTTCTACATGCATATTTGGGTCTACTATTAAAGTTACTTACATGTGTTTTGCACCTCTTCCTGCCTTGTAAGCTCCCGTAGACCATCATAAAGTTAAGTAGGATGAGGGTGAAAGGAGCCCGAAACATTTTCCTGTCCAATCCTTCATATTACAGATGAAGAAACTGAGCCTTGAAGAGGTTAAACAACATGCTCAGGTTTTCACAGACAGCAAGAGTGAGGGCTGTTTTTGGTTCCTCCAATTCCAGTGTACTTCCATTATATCACATTTGCATTCCACACAGAACCAAGCACAGAGGTATATTCATAGGACATAGTCACTTATTTTTGGTTAAATTTGCTACTAGGAAATTTAACCTAGTAGTAACTAGGAAAATTAAAATTGGCAACTAGGAAAATTAAAATGTCTAATGGTAATGACTTTAGGGGAGCTATGCACAAATGGGAGCTTTATACCTTGATGAATAGAATAAAAGTAGGTATAAACAGTTTGGAGAAAATGCAGTAGTAATTAGTAAAAATGAAGGTATTCATTTCTCAGAAGCTGGAAATTTCATTCCTAGGTAATGATAGTTCTAGGAAAACCCCTCAATAAGTATACAAAGAAGACAGATACAAGAATGTTTACAGCTACAAGTGTTTGTGGGAGCAAACTACTAGCTATCATCTAAATATATATCAATATGAAATAGTATAAAAATTGTGGCCTATGAAAAATTTAGTTGCTATACAAGATGAATATCAAATAAGAAGTCACCTCTCAATGTAAATAAATTCACCAAACATGATATTGAGTTAATCCAGCAAACCTGGATCGTACTTGATCATACATATAGTATGATACCATTTTGATACCATTTATATAAATACTTAAACTAGAAAAACAGTATCATATATTACTCAGGGTAACATAATATGTAAAAATATAAATACATGTGTGAGGACAGTCGCTTTCAAATGTAGAAATTATTGGAGATAACTACAGAGAAAGTTGATGAGGGATATTTCTAGACCCCAGCATCAGTAATCAATTTTTGTTTGTTTGTTTTATTTTTTGTTTTGAGATGGAATCTCGCACTGTCACCCGGGCTGGAGTCCAATGGCTCAATCTCAGCTCACTGCAACCTCTGTTTTCAGCGTTCAAGTGATTCCCCTGCCTCAGCCTTTTGAATAGCTGGGATTACAGGTGCGCGCCACCACACCCAGATAATTTTTGTATTTTTTTTGGTAGAGATGGGATTCACCATGTTGGTCAGGCTGGTTTTGAACTGCTGATCTTGTGATCCGCCCACATCGGCTGCCCAAAGTGCTGGGATTACAGGCATGAGCCACTGTGCCTGGCTAGTAATCAGTTATTTTAAAGCTTTGTGATTGGTAAATGCATGCTCATTCTATTTTTCTTTATACTCTCTTCGACAAGCCTAACATTTCATAATAAAGTTTGAAAATTAATTTTAGAAATTGGCTATACCACTATTTGGAGGGCAATTCCAAAGGGAAATATCCAAGTATGCTCTGAGTGATATCAGAATAAAGAACAGAAATATAAAACCAATGAGGTGACTATTTTGAAGGTAATGGTAGTTACTTGGATTTATATTTTTTAAATGTTTGTTAAAACAATCCACCCCATTTTCTTGTACTAATGTTTGTTTTATGCCCAATTAACTCTGAACAAAAAACTGCCTTAGTGAAATATGGACAGAGAAATAGAGTGACATACAAGAATTCCAAGAGCAAAACAGACACATGGAGAGTGCCAACTGGTAAATCCTAGATTCTGCATTCAGTAGACAGTATCCAAATGCTTTCTGTATCATACTTTTTGTGATTAGTGCTGGCTATGCCCAGAAAATGTCAGGGTCAAGGGAGATAATCCCTTGATTGTACTTTTTGGATTTCTTTATAAAATTTTAGTTACTAAGAGGATGATGTTTTTTAAGGTAAAAGACAGTTCAGAGAACATCTTGTTTCCGCCTTTAGTTCACAAGCAAAGATGCCTAGATGCTAGGTACAGTTATCTCCCAAAGTCACAAGGAGATTTAGGCGGGAAAGGGCAGAGATAAGAACTGATAAGCCTTTTTTTCTACTTCAGCATGTGAGCTAATCACTCAGTACTTACTGGTGAGTTGGAATTAGAACTCTCTACCCTCTTCCAACAAGTAGCATTGGGGTCTTTCAAGGGTAGATCTTTCCTATAAAATGGAAAAGGAGAGCTCCTGGGAATGTACTGAAAAGAAATGAAAGCACAGGTGTAGAAAAAGACTTGTATACAAATGTTTATACTAGCCTGAGTTGTCACAGTCAAAAAACAGAAATAACTCAAAAGTCTGTCAACTGGTGAATGGATCAAAACAATGTAGTATATTTACAGAATGGAACACAATTTAGCAATAGAAGCAAACTGATACATGCTGCTGCAGAATTGAGCCTTCACATGATGTGATCTGAAAGAAACCATATACAAAAGATCACATATGGTATAATAGCATTTATATATATTATATTTGTATAGCATTTATATAAAATATCCAGAGGAGGCAAATCTTCAGAGACAGAATATAGGTAAGTGGTTGCCTGGGGTGGGGGTGTGAATGGCAGTTACTGTAAATGAGCATGAGGAATCTTTCTGAGGCAATGAAAATATTCTGATGTTAGATTTTAGTGACGGTTATATAACCCGGTAAATTTCCTAAAAGTTATTCAGTTGTACACTTAAGTGGGTGAATTTTATGATGTGCAAATTATACCTCCAACAAAAGCTATTTTTAAAAATGGTAAGGGAATAGCTTGTTCCTAAAATACCTCAAGGTTATTTAACTCCATTTACTCGCCAGCTACCTTGTTACTCCTTCCATGATACTTCTGTTCTCAACACCCAGAGTATCAGAAACTTATGCCCCTCAGGACACATTATTCTGTAGCTAAAGCTAACATTATTTTTTTGGAGATCTTTGTACTTAGTGGGCATTTACTCATTCTGCCTTTTTATTCGTCCCATAACCCTATCAGATATACATTATTATTAACTGTATTTTAATAATAAGCAAAAGAAATAATTTATTCAGTGTCATACAACTGGTAAAAGTTGAGGAGAGGCTTGAACCCTTGATTTCTGAACTTGAACCCTCAACTACCATGCCCCTGCCTCTCCATTAGGTGTTTATGAAGGATTGTTGGATTTTTTTTAAAAGGTGAGTTTTGGTAGCTAGTTTCTTAAGCTGGCTTTGCAACAGACAGTGGGCACTTGGATGAATAATTTCTTTCACAATTTAGTACACTTAGGAAAATAACATGTTTATTACTTCCTGTAATTTATTTCTAAAGTGATATGATAGAGTAGTGGTGTAAAGATTTCCAAGGTTTTTGAACTGAGTTATTAAAGAATAGCAGAAGATTTCCTTTTGGCCACCGGCCATGAGCTTTATCAACAGAAGTATCCATTCTTTCCCTTTAACACGTCTTTAATTTATTATGGCAGGTTTATGTAGCAGGTTTTTATTGATGGTTTTTATTTTTTTGTGGTTGTTTTCAAAGACAGAATGCCAGTGTATATTGCCATGGGCTTTATTTTCCTTGATTTCTTTTTCTTTTTAATTTAATGGTGGAAAAATTTTATGGTTAAATGTCAGCAAGAGGTAGAAACTATATTTAAATTAAATGATGGCTTTGGGAGAATGGAATGAAAAAAAGCAAAGGATGAGGATTAGACTCAGGAACTTGGATTAAAATCCAGAAATTGTACTAACACTTTGAGAAACTTGCTTACCTAATTAAATTAATTAATGAGAATGATATGATGCACTTTACAGCACTATTGTGAACATTGAAGGTCTAGAATTTATGACTATATCTATGTGCAGAAAGTAGTTGTTTAATTAAGGCCTATTGAGTTTTTTTTAAGTTTTAGGTTATTTTGTTTTATTGCATTTGCTTGTCAGACATTTTTTTTTTTAAGTGCTTTACTCCATACTGGTCCCTGGGAGTAAAAAGACTTATGAGGGTCTTTGCCTAAAAAAAATGTATACTCTAGGAGGGAAAACAAGTAAGAAACAAATAAAGGCAAGTATTATTAAAGCAAAATCACCAATTCTATTGAGAATTAAGCAATTGAATTATGAAAGAATGGAAAAAATTATACATTTCTATGGGATTGAAGGAAACAACTATTCAAGAGCATGGCCAGAGAATATGAGCAGAGATCAAAATGCTAAGAAGGAACCAACAATAAAAGGACTTCATGGAAAGAGCATTTCAAGAAGAAAGAACAGCTCATACAAAGGCTGCAAGCAGGTAAAGACCTTGGTGTGTCACAGAAGCTCAAAGAAAATTATTAAAGCTGAAACATTGCAGAAAGAATTAGAAGCAGATAATGCTTGATAAGCCATACAAATAATTTGAAAGTTTATTCTAAATAACATGGGAAGTCATTGGATAGTTTTGAGGAATAGTCTGATATAGAACCAACCTGACTAGGAACCAACCCAAAATGCCCATCAATGATAGACTGGATAAAGAAAATGTGGCACATATACACCATAGAATACTATGCAGCCATAAAAAAGGATGAGTTCATGTCCTTTGCAGGGACATGGATGAAGCTAGAAACCATCATTCTCAGCAAACTAACACAGGAACAGAAAACCAAACACCGCATGTTCTCACTCATAAGTGGGTAATGAACAATGAGAGCACATGGACACAGGGAGAGGAACATCACACACTGGGGCCTGTCAGGAGTGGGGGTGGATAGGGGAGGGATAGCAGGGGGTGGGGGGATTGGGGAGGGATAACATTAGGAGAAATACCTAATGTAGCTGACGGGGGATGGGTGCAGCAAACCACCATGGCACGCGTATACCTATGTAACAAACCTGCATGATCTGCATATGCATCTCAGAACTTAAAGTATAATTGTTGAAAAAAAGAAACTCTTTGAATTGGAAGGAGCAAAATCAGAAACAAGAAGTACAGATAGGAAGCTGTTTTCACTACTAAACACAGGGAGAAATGGGACTCTGCACTGATGTAATACATTACAGGAAATGGAGAGAAGGGTTTAATCTATTTGGGATGAAGACAGCAGGACTTGTTTAAGGTTGAATGAAAGTGGAGATATAAAAGTTGGAATCAAGACCAAGTAAGAGTTGCTGTACCTGTGTTTCCGACTTGAGATATTGGACAGTGCTATTTACAGAGATAAGGATTGAAGAGAGGTTTCAAGGCAGAATTGAGAGTTCTCTTTTGAGTATATCATGTTTGCAATATTTCTGAGTTACTCCATGGAAGGTAACTGGTATTGAGATGATAAGAAACTTGGAACGCTGCTGGAGGTGTAAATCTGAAGTCATTAGCATAATAAGGGTAATGGACATAGGCAAATTGTTGGGAAAGTTTCATTCTTCTAACAATAAAGAAATTAGAATCCTTGGGTTCATTTCCTTATGATATACCATATTAATTAACTTATAGTATCTACTGTATCTGGTACCAACAGAGGGGTTAATATAAAAATTCCCAATGGGTTTCTTCTTATATTATATTCTAGAGGATGGAGCAATCAAATTTGCTGCTTCTGATCCCATTTTATTTAAATAAACTAGTCAGGATTAATACTAGCTTTTAAAACACTATAGGTCATTGGAATCACTTGGTTTGGTTTGGGATTGATTATTAATAATATTATTAAACTGCTGGATGTTGACTTTATACTAAATTTTGTACATGTAGATGCTCTTATTATCATGTATACAACTGACTAAGGACCTACACTGTACCCTACATTGTGACAAGTATTGGGGAGGCAGAGATCAGAGATTGTGTCTTTTTCCACAAAGTGAGTCTAATTGGGAGAAAACAGACATGTGAATATATAATTATTATGAAATGTGAAACATCCCATGTTCTAGGATGATAGCAAAAGATAAACATCGAAAGGTTAGAAGATATTTCATGGAAAACCTGATATTTAAGTTGAATCATGAGGGAGGAGCAGAAACTGCTAGAAAAACAAGGTAGATGAGAATAATCCACTGGAAAAAAAATCGGTAAGGCAGAAAAAGTAAAATATCATTAAAAAAATCTCTTGTGGTTAAATTGAGTATTGAATGCAGCACTTAGTATAAGGCCTGACACATATCAAACATTTAATAAATATCTGTCAAATGAATGAATTATTGAATAAATCAGCGAAACAATTTTGCTTAGTAAATACAATTTACTAAATACTTACTGGACTACAGCTTCTGGGCAAAGGAAGTAGGAGATGGCTTCTTGTGCATAGATTTTATGTTGTCAAAATGAGATATACAATATATACCTACATATGAAATTCCTAGAGACAATATCAACAGGTATATCATAATGTAGGTGTAAAGTGTATGTGTTTGTGTCTTTGTGGGGATTGAGAGAGACAGCAAGGTAAGAAGGAGGAGAAAGGAAAGGAAGGAAGACACAAAATAAATTTTAAAAAGCATCTTGTGGGAAATTGCATAAAAACATGAAAGGAAATTGCTCAAAGTGACATGGACTCTAAGCTGCACAACAGAAACTATCAACTATTGAGATCAGGACGGGAAAACAGTACCTGAATATTAGTTTTAGCCCAAAGAGAATAAAATAGTCAAAGTTGACAGTAGAAAGTCAAAACGAGAGACTCAATTAACTAAGGAAGAAGAGGACACAGAGTCTTACACATGAACAAGGACAATTATTAGAGACTAGGAAACAGTCAATGGAAGAACAGGACACAGGAACAAATTAAGAGTTGATCCTATTTAATTTTAGTCCTGACCCAGGTTTGGCTTTAAAGGGACAGGTTTTTGCTTTCTGAACCAATGAGTTGATATCTTAAAGATACCATTGAGCCCTGCCAGAAGCGATGGGCAAAACACAGCTAAAAGAAGAGAAGCTTTTTTTTTTTTTTTTTTTTTTTTTTTTTTTTTTTTTTTTTCAAAAAGCAACAAAAGAAATTGCAAAAAGAAACACTGAGGCTGGAGTTGGAAAATTCTGCTAAAATTCATTTGCAAAAAGTAATGGTTCACTTGAGGTAAGAGTGAGCAAGTTCAATGGCAACGCTTATTATGTTTAGAAAGGAAGCTAAAGCTCCTTATTTTTTGAGGATGTCACTTTTTGTTGAAAACCATGCATACGGAATGCTCTATAAGGTTTCGATTAAATAGGAACTGAATTAAATACACAATTATTTCTTACTTTCTCATGACAGAATTAACAAATAAAGCTTTCCTTACTTTGTAAACTGGCAGAATGAATGTCATCACTCATTTATCCAGTTGGTTTTTGTATGAAAGTGGATAGTGCAACTGTTTAATTCCTGAAATTCATATAATCAGAGCTCTGCAACTATAAATGTTATTATCTATAGTTCTTATAACTTTGATTCCACTGTTTCTTTAGAGTCAGTGCTTTCAAGGTATATTTCACAACAGTAGTTCTGATAGTCTAAACTTATTCAGGTTAACATGTTTTTGTGTCATACACATGCTGATCAATTTATGCTATAATGGATAACTTATTTCACTGTACATTTATAAGAAATAATTCTCAATCCTTAGTGTTGTACTAATCAAATATTCCATGTTGCCTCAGCTGCAATTATAATTACTTTTCAAAAAGTGGATTTGCTCTTGAACACTATGCATATTTAAATTATCTATTAGATGATCCGTGTAATGTTAATAGCAGTCCTCATGTAATTTGATATACTAGCCTAAATAGGAAGGTATGCTTTTGCTTATGAAGTCTGAATACATTGTTTTTTAATGAGTTCTCCTACACTAATGAAAGGGAAACTTGTTAATATGTTAGTTGCAATGTTAAGATTCAACTTAAGGAGGTCTTGAGCTCACCTCAATTTTTATTAAGTTGGTAGACCTTAAAAATGAGAAATTGACACTTTAAGGTTGTATTTATATCATCTTTCCTATTGAATAGCAGTAATTTTGCTAATAATACTTATGACAGCTCTCCCAGTCTGTCAAACTCTTCTACAATCTTTTTACCTGCATGGCCTTGCACATAATATTTCCCCTTCCTGGAGTGCTCTTCCTTTTTGGCCTGCAAAATGCTCATTCTTCAAGACCTAGTGTGAGTCTCACCTCCTTTGGGAAGTCTTCCTTGATAAGGCCTATTGTCAGCAGAACTACGTCTTTCCTTATCTGCATTCCATAGCACCATGTACATTTCTCTGTACTGCTAATGATGTTGTTTTGGTACTGTGTGTTTGCAAGTTTTCCTCCCCCTCGAGATGGTGGAGTTCTCGAAAGAAATAACCTCATTGTATTCTTTCTTGTATACTGATACCTAACACAAGTTCTGATGCATAATAGGTATCCTGTAAATATTAGTAAATTCTATTGAAAAGAAAATCTCAAATAGGTATTTAAACCTTGATTTTTTTCAATGTTTTTATGCATTTATGTCTCGCCTGCCAGTACAGTTATAAATTCAGTAAGTATGGAAACTATGTATGTTTTTCAATATCCTCATGGGAGTGTATAAAACAGTACTTTTTAATATTATAGATAATCAAATGTTGTATATTAGCTGTCAGTATTATTCATCAGTCAGCATACTATCATAGAAGACATAAAGTCATTATGTGCATTGTTTTACACAAACGTAGCACTTATTGAAATTATTCAGATGTTAGGTTTGTATTTTGCTTTTGCAAGGCTGAGGAAGCCTAGTATACACTTGGGATAACTTAAATACCAAAGAAGGCAAAGATAGTTTGCTCTCAAGACATGCAGTTTTTTCATTTCTGGACATGTCCTGGGCTACAGAGGAGGCTCCTGCCCTAAACAGAGTCCTAGGCCCAGCAGCATTTGCCACTAGGTGATTGCAGTGCCCTGGGACCTTGAGTGAACATCTGGTAGCCAGGCAGTACTCACCATGGGTCTGGGGCCTGGGGAAGAGACTCCTCTGCTTATGGAAAGGACAGAGAAGAGTAGAAAGGGCTTTGTTTTGTGGCTCGAGTGGCAGGTCATCTCTGGTAAATAGAGCACCAGGTAGATTCCTGAGGTTTCTGACTCCAGGCCCTGGCTCCTGGATGTCCTCTCCAGACCCGCCTGGGACCAGTGAAACTTGCCGCCCTGAAGGGAAGGACACAGCCTGGTTATCAGAGAAATGCAAATCAAAACTACAGTGAGGTATCATCTCACCACAATTAAAATGATTTTTATCTAAAAGACAGGGAATAACAAATGCTGGCAAGGATATGGAGAAAAGGGAACACTATTACACTGTTGGTGGGAATGTAAATTAGTACAGCCCCTATAGAGAACAGTTTGATAATCCTTAAAAACAAAAACAAAAACAAAAAAAAAAACATGGAAAATAGAGCTACCATATAATCCAGATATTCCTGGATAGGGAAAGAAGTTCTAATTGTATATCAAAGACATATCTGCACTCCAAGCTTTATTGCAGCACTATTCACAATATCCAAGATATGGAAGCTACTTATGTGTCCACAAAAGACAAATGGATAAAGGAAATATGGTACATTAACACAAGGGAGTACTATTCAGCCATAAAAATGAATGGGATCCTCTCATATGCAACAACATGGATGACACTGGAGGTCATTATGTTAAGTGAAATAAGCCAGGCACAGAAAGACAAACAGTATGTTCACACTTATTTGTGGGAGCTAAAAATTAAAGCAATTTAACTCATGAAGATAGAGAGTGGAATCATGGTTACCAGAGTCCAGGAAGGGTACTGGGGCTGGGGAGAATGGGGATGGCTAATGGATACAATAATATCATTCTTTAGACTAAATAAGATCTCATATTTGCTAGCACAACAGGTGGCTACACTCAAACTAATTTGCACATTTTGAAATAACTAAGTGTATAATTGAATTGTATGTAACACAAAGAAAGGATAAAAGCTTGAGGTTAGAGATATCTCATTTACCTGATGTGATTATTACACATCGCATGCCTGCCTCAAAGCATCTCATGTATACCATATATACCAACAAATTGGAAAGCCTAAGCTAAGAAGGTAAGTTTGTAGACATATACATCCTACTAAGATTGAACCATGAAGAAATCCAAACCTGGAATAGGTCAATTACAAGTACCAAGATCAAGGATGTAATAGAAAGTCTCCCGGATAAAAGCCCAGGACCCACTGGCCTCCCTGCTGAATTCTACCAAACATTTAAAGAAGAATTAGCACCAGTCCAGGTCAAACTATTCGGAATAGTTAGGAGGAGAATATACTTCCAAACTCATTATATGAGTTGCAGGATACAAAATCAATAGAAAAATCCATAGTATTTCTATATGTCAGCAATGAGCAATCTGAAAAAGAAATCAAGAAAGTAATCCCATTTACAATAGCTGTAGATAAGATAAAGTACCTAGGAATTAACCAAGGAAGTGAAAGATATCTACATGAGATATGATATATTCCATATATATATATAGTATATATATTCCATATATCAAATGTAATGTAAGAAAGAGTTCATGTCCTCTCCAGGGTGCCAAAAAAATGAGCCTATGAAGAAAATATAAAATGAATATATCCTGTTAATATAATCGTTATTGACTACGAGGCACTGTGCTTGACACTCAGGGGTTCAAAATCTTTTTCCATCTCTTTACATTTCATTGGCTGGAATTAGGTCATTAATCAAAGCAAAGGATAATAGGATTATCCTATGGACCCAGGGTGAAGAGTTCACCTTTCTTGAAATCAAATAATCTCACCCATACACCTGAATGAAATTTTAGTTTATATATATATATATATATTCTTTCTCTTTTCTTCCTTCCCTTCTTTTTCTCCTTCCCTTCTTCTCTCTCTCCCTCTCTCCTTCTTTCTTTCCTTCCCTTCCTTCTTTTCTTTCCTCCTCCCTCTTCTCCCACTCCCTCCCTCCTGCCTTCCTTCCTTCTCTTCTTCCTTCTCTCTCTCCATATTTTTCCTTCCCTTCCTCCTCCCTTCTATATATATAGAGAGAGGGAGGGAGGGAGAGGGAGGGAGGGGGGGGGAGAGAGAGAGAGAGAGAGAGAAAGGCCATTTCTCAATGTGGCGGTAATTGACTCATATATATTTCAACACTTGGTGAAAATTTGACAACACTTCATCAATTCATTGCCAAAAGGCATTAGAGATTCTTTTTAGATTTCAATTATACCATCAATTCCCTTTAATTCAATTCTGCATGCTTCTGCACTTTTTTTTTTTTTTTTTTTTTTTTTAGACGGAGTTTCGCTCGTTACCCAGGCTGGAGTGCAATGGCGCGATCTCAGCTCACTGCAACCTCCACCTCCTGGGTTCAGGCAATTCTCCTGCCTCAGCCTCCTGAGTAGCTGGGATTACAGGCACACACCACCATGCCCAGATAATTTTTTATATCTTTAGTAGAGATGGGGTTTCACCATGTTGACCAGGATGGTCTCCATATCTTGACCCCATGATCCACCCGCCTCGGCCTCCCAAAGTGTTGGGATTACAGGCTTGAGCCACCGCGCCTGGCCGTTTCTGCACATATTAATTGAACATTTACTAAACGTTATGCATTGGTCAAGTTGCTGTTAGAATGGAAATATTTTGAGGGAAAGCAGACTGGAATTCTATTTATTTCTGGCTATTTCTCTTATCTCTTAAGTGATTTAGAATGAATTAGTTGACTTCTTTGACATCAGACTTTTAATCTCGTGAGAGTGATATGAATCTCAATCACATAGAAAGTCATTAGAAAAACAGTAGTAGTATGGTGTTTGTCATCTAGCTGCTTCTCAACAAACATTAAACTTCTGATTCACCTAAATGAAGTGCCCCTTTTCACCACGTCACCATATATACTGTAGAAGAAGGAAGCGTGAAGGACTCCTTTAGAAGGCAGTTGCCAGCTACAAACAATGGGACTCTAGGTTGTTTTCCAGATGTCCGTATTTTAACAGCATAATTATATGCTGTATTTTTAGGGGAGAATGTGTGCCAGGTCAGTATTATAATTCAGTTTCAATTACAGTAACTGTTGTGTGTTGTAGGCTAGCCAAAATTTGGCAGGTAGCCTGTGCACAAGCCCTGGATTTAATAGGAGTAATGGCTCTGCAAGGCCGCTTTGGCTCCTCATTACTGTCTCCTTCTGATTTAGTGGGGGCCTTCTCCCCTGAGGTTGGGTGTAGACACCATCTCCTTGACTGGCTCAGGTTTCTGGGAAGATGTTCATTCTCCCTTAGAACTGCCAGAAATCCATCTTATATTTTCTGTTAAGTACAGTGGAACAAAACTTCCTTCCTTCCTTCCTTCCTTCCTTCCTTCCTTCCTTCCTTCCTTCCTTCCTTCCTTCTTTTCTTCCTTCTTTCCTTCCCTCAGTTTCTCCCTCCTTCCTTTCTCTTTTCTTCCTTCCATTCCTTTTTCTCCTTCCCTTCTTCTCTCTCTCCCTCCCTCAGTCTTTCTCCCTTTCCTTCCTTCCCCTTCCCTTTCTTCCCTTCCCTTCCTTCTTTTCTTTCCTCCTTCCTTTCTTTTCTCCTCCCTCTTTTCCCACTCCTTCCCTCCTTCCTTCTCTTCTTCCTTCTCTCTCTCCACATTTTTCCTTCCCTTCCTCCTCCCTTCTTCCTTCCTTTTCTTCTTCCTCATACTTGTGTTCCTTTTATTCTTCTCCCCTTCTTCCCCCTCTTCCTCCTCTTCCTACTCCTCCGTCTTCCATTTTGTATTGTCACTCACTTAATGAATCCTTTTGCCAAAAGCCTCTTCATATTGTCTACAGTTAAATATTTTATTCCATTTTTTCTTATTGGATCTATCTTGTACCACACTTAGAAGTCTTCTCTATTACCTATATTTACATCCTCCCAATATTTGTAGAATCTTATCATATTCCCTGGTTGTCACTTAGTCAAGTAATAGGCTTTTATCTCCTTTAATCTGGCCTCATAAATCAAACCTTTGTTTTTCCTAATTTTTTAAAATCATTCCTTCAATGGTTTTTAATTTGTCTGTGTCTTTCTGAAATGGAAGTGCCTCTGAAATGGAACTAAATGCAGAGATTCAAGGCTGAAACCTTGCTGGCTGCATTTTGCCATTCTTTCTGAACAAACATTTCATAACAAATAAGTATAGTGTGGCTCTTTATCTTGCCAGTTCATTACTTTGCAAATGTATGCAGAATAACTTCTTACTGAGGTCTCTTGAAGCAGATGAAAAAATGCATTTTTTTTCCCAGAACTAAGGAGGCCAAAGGTTTAAACTCAGATTTACCACAATTCATGACCCTTCAGCTTGAATTCTGTGTCACTAACTTTGGTTTTTTTTTTTTTTTTGAGACAAGAGTCTTGCTCTATTGCCTAGTGGCACCATCTCAATTCACTGCAACCTCTCAGGTTCAAGCAATTCTCCTTCCTCAGCTTCCAAAGTAGTGGGTTTTACAGACGCGCACCACCACACCCAGCTAATTTTTGCATTTTTAGTAGATGGGGCTTCACCACATTGGCCAGACAGGTCTCAAATTCCTGACCTCTAGTGATCCACCCTTCTCAGCCTCCCAAAGTGCTGGGATTATAGGCATGGGTCACCTCATCTGGTCTAGGAATCAATACCGTCAAATCTCATCTACAGGACCCAGACTGGGGTCAGGCAAGCAATGCTCACAGGGCACTGCCCTTGCACAGTCCTGAGAATGAGCACCACCTTACATTTTCATCTAAGATGCCTCACTAAAATAACAAAGTAGGTATAAAAATACTTTAAAATATGTGAAGACATAGACAAATATAAGCTCTAGCCATCATTGTCCTTCACCAGTTCTACCCCACACAATTTTTTTTTTCTTTTCTTTTTTTTTTGAGACGGAGTTTTGCTCTTGTTACCCAGGCTGGAGTGCAATGGCGCGATCTCGGCTCACCACAACTTCCACCCCCTGGGTTCAGGCAATTCTCCTGCCTCAGCCTCCTGAGTAGCTGGGATTACAGGCACGCGCCACCGTGCCCAGCTAATTTTTTGTAATTTTTAGTAGAGACGGGGTTTCACCATGTTGACCATGATGGTCTCGATCTGTTGACCTCGTGATCCACCCGCCTCGGCCTTCCAAAGTGCTGGGATTACAGGCTTGAGCCACCGCACCCGGCTC